CCCCCCCCCACCGAAGTCCGTGTTTCAAATATGTCCATCCTTCGGGTAGTGCGCATTGCACTCCTTGTGATTTATCTAAAATTACTATTATATTATTTAGAAACTCCAAGAACACATAAATTATGTTTCTAAAAGTACTGAGTTTATTTAAAAGCATTACATCAAGTTTGAATTTCCGTAAACAAAGACATGTCTTTATTACATGTTGATTTTGGCAAAGAGTACAGACTTGGATACAACAGATACAATAAAAGTAGTTTAAAGTAAAAGTGTTTACTTTTAGTAATAAAATAATATGGAGCTAAAGTACTACATATGTATCTTCTGTGTAAGTGATTTAGGCCATGTTTCTTGTCCTTTTAGAAATCTTTAGAATTAAAATTTCAAAAGTTGCCCCTTTTATTTGATACTCGTGCTTTTTGCTGGAATAGAGGCATAAAAAAGATTCTCTCTGCTTAGATTAATGTACTCACATAATATATGCCTAAAATGAAATTAAAACGTCAGATATCTGAGAAATAGTGACATTCATGATCACAAGTTGTTTTAGAGGAGGGAAACCAGTAAGATTTATTTTAGCAAAAACACAAGGAAAACTAACCTTGGGCAATGATTGTCAACCTATTTTATAATAATCAAAAGTCTGAGCTCATTGAAGAGAATGCCATTTTAAACCTACTTATCCCACTTCCATGATATACACATGTGTATTTCACTAAGGGAAGAACTTAGAAACATGATTCCATCCTAGCTGTGTAGGTAAACAAGGGACTTATCAACTGAATGCATCTATTGCTTTTTTGGGGGGTAGGAAGTCATTTATTCTGATAATTGAATTATGCAATTAAAGGTTATTTTTAGAAACCTGGAAAACTTGGGGTTCAGTACACAGAAGTTTCATCTACGAAAGAATGGGAATGTTATAATTACCACAGAAATTACAATGTTTAACATATAAACATTAACTGCAAGTACTTTTTAATCACAATGGCATCACATCAAAAAGGTACATATTCTTGTTCACTAAAATTAATAAAGCAATTTTGGAATAAGAGACAGATTATTTCTCTCTTACCCTCTCTCCTCTTTCTCCTTTTTAAACTCCTCAATGTTGAGCTACAGATATACTTAAGCTGCAATAATAATACCAAAAAAAGGTGAAGGGTGTTTTCTTTGTAAAATGACTAAAGTACATAAAATGCCTTGGCAGATAACACCACTATTATATCTACTAAAATTTTATGTTCATTTCCTATTCTCCTCACCACAACGCTCACATTTTAATTATATATTCATTTTGATTGTTTGCATGTGAAAACACAAACTAATCTATTATTTCAACATTAAGCTTATTCCTTTTGAAGCTAAGATAATTTTGCTATTTTATAAAAGCAATGGAGACTCATTTTTCAGGAAGCTTAAGGCAGAATGTTTAAGGTTCATGCTTGCTGCTTTGCCTGGGCTTCTGCTTCCTGAAATGAAAAATAAAATAGTTAAGTTTATATATCACAGAGGAGATATGCATGTGCATTTTGGTTAGACTTCATTAGCTCAAATTACCAAGAATATTCAAAAGCCCCCAGAAAAGATTGCTTAAAAAATTCTTAACAGAAAAACTATAAAATAGACACTGCTGTCTATAAACAGATATAATAAAACACCACCTACTCATTACTAATAATTTGAAATAACTCCATAAAAGCGAGTGATTTACAGTTATAATTGACATTTTATTTAAAAATAGTCAGTTAGTTTCCTTCTTGTGTGATTTTTCACAAAAATTGAGTGTTCAAAAACATTGTTACCTAAAGTTTACAGTTAGTTGTGTATGGTTAATTAGGGTTAAATTACGTATGCTATTCATTAAAATGTCACTACTTTTATGTTTTATGACAGTGCACATGAAAACAGATCGATCAGGTTGTCTTCCTTCTCCTCTGGCCAATGAGATACTCACCTCTAGCATAGGAACTCTGACCTATGTGGGTGCTCTGGTGCTCGACATAGTACTTAACACAAAATAAACATCAAGGAAAGTTTGTTGAACTAAAGATGAGTGGCTAGAGTAACTTTGGCAAAAGAAACATCAGACTTAAGTTATAGGGATGCCAGACAACATCACTCTAAGCACCTGTCACTAATTCAATACTTGATGGTCTCAGAAGGATCCAGGAGCAGCTGAATATTCCCAAATTAGTCTCTGATATTACATTCATAAGAAAGTGTAAAAACAAAAAGAGATGCTAGATTTTTACCCAAAAAAGGAAAAAAACGAAGGAAAGAAATAAACAAGAAAGGACACTGTAATTCATTCTTAATATTAATACATCCTTAAAAAACAGGTGAAATATATTATTGACTCACCTTCTAAAATGTCTAGTCAAAAAAATAAAAAAGTCCCTAAGCTCCTTTCAAGCTTTCAACTTAGTGTTTAGCTGCCAAAATGAATATATCTTAGACCTACATTATGCATCTTGTTTCTTTTCATAGAAAGAGCTTTGAAGAATGTCTGCACACAACACAATGAATTTATACTAAGACCCTTCAAAGGCCTAGCATATACGATTTGGAGAAGTACTTGTATAATAATATGTCCTAATGTGAAGTCCTTCTTCCTATGAGCACCTAACAGCTAAAGTCACACCCTATCATTTTTTTCCTGTAATTTGTCAAAAATTCCATTGCTGTCAGTTATCCTTTCTAGTGGAGGAAATTACTAGCATAGACATCTAAAACAAAATTCAATTTAAAATTCTTCTAATTTGCCTTTAGGATACATTATATTTAAAGTAGATTATTTACTTTTCTAATTATATTTTATTCATTAAATACATAAGTTGAACTGAAAGCTTTAATACCTAAAAGTAATTAGTCAATATTTATATTAGAATTGTGAGTCATCTAATCAACCAGAGAGCCTTACAAGCAAGCATATGAGGCGCTCTCCCCGCTACTCCCAATGTAAACATCATTCCTTAAATGCACTGGTTTTGAATCAAATAATCCTGGGTTCAAATTCCAGTTCTGATACTCGATTATTATATGTCCTTGGACAAATTACTTAAATTACCTGAGTATCAATTTCCTCCTCTATAAAATATCTCTAAGGACACCTAGCTTAGAGGGATGATGTAAGGATAAAATGAGATGTAAGTGGAGTGTCCAGTTCATTGCTTGGCCCATTGCAGGCATACATCCTTTTTTCCTGCATTTCCCCCTCCTCTTTTTTGCCCATAACTGAAACCAAGACCACAGCTATGTGTTAGTAACATGCAGTTTCTCTTGGAGATGCAGTAAGCATAGGATGAATTCAGTGGAAATAGGATTGCTTCAAATCTCACAGCAGAGGCAGACTCCACAGGCCCTCCCTAGAGCAGGGTGATTCAATCAAAGCTAATGAGAACATTTCTCTAACTAGCACCCTCTATTCCCTCAACATATTAGTGAACATGCCTTTCTGAGGAGAGTAGTTTTCTCCCCTGCACAAACATCCTAGATTTTTATTTTTTAACAAAAGTATCAATTATTTTATTTCATATCTCCAAACCATCACCTCCACCTCAAAGTAAGAAATGCTCTTTGTATTGATAAAATAGGGTAACTAACAGTAAATATTTATATACTTTGTTTTAAACACATTAAATATACAAAAGTATATAAAAATGTTTGTCTTCCACAGAAGGATTCTTTGCTTTATGGAATATTTGCCATAGGGTACTTTTAAATATCAAGCTCTCTGGTGCATTAATTTTCAATAATTTTTTTTCTTTTTTTTTGAGACAGAATCTCGCTTTGTTGCTCGGGCTAGAGTGAGTGCCGTGGCGACAGCCTAGCTCACAGCAACCTCAAACTCCTGGGCTCAAGC